CATAACAAATTATGGATAACATTGTGAAGAATGGGAATTCCAGAACATTTAATCATGCTCATGAGGAACCTGTACATACATCAAGAGGCAGTTGTTCGAACTGAACAAGGGGATACTGTGTGGTTTAAAGTCAGGAAAGGTGTGCGTCAGGGTTGTATCCTTTCACCATACTTATTCAATCTGTGGGCTGAGCAAATAATCCAAAAAGCTGGACTACATGAAGAAGAATGGGGCATCAGGATTAGAGGAAGACTCATTAACAACCCGTGTTATGCAGATGATACAACCTTGCTTGCTGAAAGTGAAGAGGACTTGAAGCACTTACTGATGAAGATCAAAGACTATAGCCTTCAGTATGGATTTCACCTCAACATAAAGAAAACAAAAATCCTCACTACTAGACCAATAAGCAACATCATGATAAATGCAGAAAAGATGGAAGCTGTCAAGGATTTCATTTTATTTGAATCCACAATCAACACCCATGGAAGCAGCAGTCAAGAAATCAAAAGATGCATTACACTGGGCAAATCTGCTGCAAAAGACCTCTTTAAAGTGTTGAAAAGCAAAGATGTCACCTTGAAGACTAAGGTGCACCTGACCCAAGCAATGGTGTTTTCAGTCGTCTCATATGCATGCAAAAGCTGGGCAATGAATAAGGAAGACAGAAGAAGAATTGATGCCTTTGAATTATGGTGTTGGCGAAGAATATTGAATATACTATGGACTGCCAGAAGAATGAACAAATCTGTCTTGGAAGAAGTACAGCCAGAATGCTCCTTAGAAGCAAGGATAGCAAGACTTCGTCTCACATACTTTGGACATATTATTAGGAGGGCTCGGTCCCTGGAGAAGGACATCATGCTTGGTAAAATAGAAGGTCAGCAAAAAAGAGGAAGACCCTCCACAAGACGTACTGACACAGTACCTGCACCAGGGGCTCAAGCATAACGATTGTGAGGATGGCGCAGGACTGGGCAGTGTTTTCTTCTGTTGTACATAGGGTCGCTACGAGTCGGAACCAACTCGACGGCACTGAACGACAACATACGTATATAAGGTCCTTGGGTGGTGCAAGTGGTTTGCGTTTGACTACTAACTGAAAGATGGTAGTTTGAACCCACCCAGCAGCACCACGGAAGAAAGGCCTAGTGATCGATCTGCTTCCGTCAAGATCACAGCCAAGAAAGCACTATGGAGTTCAGTTCTACTCTGTAATACATGAGGTCACCATGACTCAGAATGGACTTGAAGTCAACGGGATACGTTTATACCACATTCTGTTTATTCACTCATCTGTTGTTGGACACTTGGGTTGTTTCCACCTTTGGGCTATTGTGATAAGTGCTGTGATGAACACTGATGTACACATATCTGTTTCAGTCCCTACTTTCAAGCGTCTTGGATATATACCTAGGAGTGGAATTGCTGGGTCATACGGTAATCCTTTTTAACTTTTTGAGGAAGTGGTTTGGCTTCTGAACTTTTGCCTACCTTCCTTGTCTATAGCTACAAGTCAGAAAACAGATAACATTTTCTAATTCTTCCCTAAAAATTCAAAGCCAAGGAGCTCTTATCAAACTTCTAGGCTGTGACTTTTGCAAGAGACAAGGTGACAGAATTTTACAGCATTTCAAAATGTGCAGACTTTTGCCCTCATCACGCTAAGCAATTTGACACATTCCTGTTGGTGGATACTGACTATTGCGACCACCTGCTGTCAGTGCCTCCTGTTATCCTCACTAGCCCACTGGTGGCTGTATCAGTCCTCCCCGCTTGCAGCCCCCAGAGCATCACCAGCGATGGGCTATGCTCCCTGTGGGTGCCAAGCCACAGCTCCAGGAAGCAAACCAGAGACAGACAATAAAAGGCCAATGCTGACAGGCAAACCAGAGCTGAAAGGGACAGAGACACCCAGGCCAGTGGATATTAAATGGGGGAGCAAGGCACACGGGCTGCATTTGTTTAGAGGGAGCAAAACCACACACATGAGGCCTTATAGCCTGACACCTCTCCCTGCTCACCCTCTGCTAGTGCCCTGCAGCATAAATGCAGTGATGACATCACAGTGTCTTGTTCTGACTTGATGGGCACTATCAGTGCCCTGGTGACATCCGATTCTCACCACAAAACCCCACCTTATCTCCAAATACAGCCAGTGAACTCCGTAGGTGTCGTCTTGAAGAAACCCAAATTGCCTAGTAACTACCCTCATCCCAAGTCCCCTTGCACAACAAAAACAGATGTTCTCAAAGATGTGACAACATGTACCTTATATACTGTAATCTTTCTTGTATTCTTAATGCTACCAGAACATAAAATAACTTGTAATTCTTTTTATTTGGTATTTTAAGTTGAAGAAATTGTCTATCTTGATGATTTTTTATAATGGGGGCTGTCTTGGTTATCTAGTGCTGCTATAACAGAAATACCACAAGTGGATGGCTTTAACGAACAGAAATTTATTCTCTCACAGTTTAGGAGGCTAGACATCTGAAGTCAGGGCACCAGATCCAAGGGAAAGTTTTCTCTTATCTGTTGGTTCTGGGGGAATATCCTTGTCATCAGTCTTCCCCTGGCCTAGGAGCTTCCCAGCACAGGGACCCCAGGTCCAAAGATGCACTCTGCTCCTGGCTCTTCTTGCTTGGTGGTAATGAGGTCCCACTGTCTCTCTGTTTCCTTCTCTCTTTTATATCTCAAAAGAGACTGACTGACGCAAGATATGACCTAATTCTGTAGATTGTGTCCTGCCTCATTAACATAACTGACTCTAATCCTGCCTCATTAACATCATAGAGGTTAGGATTTATAACACATAGGACAATTACATCAGATCACAAAATGGAGGACAACACTGGGAATCATGGCCTAGCCAAGTTGACACACATTTTCGGGGGGACACATTTCAATCCATAACAGGGGCCAAACCATATTTTGAGAATAAAGGGGGTATGAGCTACAAGAAAAATTCAGGAATATGACCATGCTAGGCCAACCCACTCCTTTCTTTTCAGTTGAAGTAAAGGCCCGGAGGTGGAAAGTAGAACTTGAATGAGCTCCTGTGGCTACACGGGTGAGGAATTCCAGTGAGAACTCAGCTGGCTTTTGACTCCAAGCCTTCTACTTTTCCCATTACATCACAACACTTAGGTTGCAGGAAGAGAACATCGAATCCTGGCCCCAAACGAGACTTCAGCCATAACCAGGAACAGCTTCCATAAAACTGGCTGAGACATGCTCGCAAAACCAGAAAACCTTTCTACGGCAGTGAAGCCCTGTACCTTCCCCAACCCTCGGAGGAAGCAACCATGGTCTGAAGGAGCTAACTCAACAGCTGACCCTCAAGAAAGACAACAATGTCCTCCTTCATTAACAGCTGGTCATTTCTCTTCTCAGTTATCGTATCAGGAGACTTGCACTTCACTTTTTAATCAACAACCCCATGCCCACCAGTCCTTGACCCAGAAGTAGCCATGAGAAACAGTTTTGTGTCAGAAATGATTAGTGTTTACAAGTATGTAAATGCAGGTTCACTCTCTGAACTCTCGCTATTTAAACACTTGCTACCCACAATCAGGAACTGAATAGATACAGGTAAATTCTCTCATGAACCCCTCACTGTCTTGCTTTGTGAAACTCAGGAAGCGAATAGATTCAGACAACCTGTTATCCCTCCCTATCTTTGCTTGTGCGTGTGTGTGTGTACACACATGTGTGCATCAACATGCCGCTATGATATATACTGATGCACGTCGATAGTTTTTCCATTTGCATAATATTGTGATATTGTATATTGTATATTGTTTATAAATTGGATCATTCTACTTAAATTTTGGTTTACATTTTGCTTTTTTTTCATCTAATATATCTCAAACATCTTTCTATATTGGTAAACAGAAATCTACCTTACTCCTTTTAAAGGCTGCATAGTATTCCACTGAAAGAAATGTATTTAGCCCATCCTTGACTGGTGGACACTCAGGTTGTTTTTAGTTTCTTGTCATTGTAAACACTGCTGTGATGAGCATCCTTGTATCTTAGAAAATTTGTGCCAGTGTATCTCTAGAAAAGAGTCCTAGAAATGGAATTGCTGGGTCAAAATGTATGTGTATTCTTTATTTTGATAGATACTGCTAATGTGCTATCAAAAAGCTCACAGCACAACAGAAGCATAAGCAGCAAAAGACAAAATAGATAGATAGAGCCTCATAAAAATTAAATACATGCAATATTTTTGATAAAGGACTTTATCAAAAAAGTGAAAAGACAACCTACAGATTGGGAGAAAATTTTCAGGAATCATATATCCAATAAGGGTCTAATATCCAAAAAGGATGGATGGATGGATAGATAAACTTTTACAACGTAACAACAAAAAGACAAACAATCCAATCAAAAAGCGGCCGAAGGACTTGAACAGACAGTTCATCAAAGAGGATATTCAGATGGCCAACAAGCACAGGAAACAGTGCTCAACGTCATTTGCCATTACAAAAAAATGTCGCCCTCAAGTCGATTCCAACTCATAGTGACCCAAAAGGACAGAGTAGAGCTGCTCCATGGGGTTTCCAAGCAGTGGCTGGTAGCTTTGAACTGCTGACCTTCTGGTTAGCAGCTGAACTCTTAACTACTGTGCCACCAGGGCTTCCATTAGCCATTAGAGAGACGATGAGATACCACTTCATCACCTTTAGGATGGCATTGGTCAAAACAAATGGAAAGCACAGGTGTTGGCGAGGTTGTGAAGAAGCTGGAGCCCTCACACCTTGCTGGTGGGAATGTAAAATGGTGCGGCCCCAGTGGAAAACAGTTTGGGATCCTCAAAAAGTTGAACACATTACCCTATGACCCAGCAATCCCAATCCCAGGTATATACCCAGAAGAACTGAAGGCAGGAACGCAAACATAAACCTGTACATCAACGTCCATTGCGTGACAATATAGCTACAATAGCCAAAAGGTGGAAACAACCAAAATGTCCATCAACAGATGAACGGATACACAAAATGTGGTCGAGACATGCAATGGAATACTAATCAGCCATAAGGAGAAATGATGCCTTGATGCATGCCACACCATGGATGAATCTTGCAAACATTACGCTGAGCAAAATACATCAGTCACAAAAGGACAAATACCATATGATTTCACTTATATAAAATAAGCAAATATATAGAAACCAAAGATTATTAGTGGCTGCCAGGGGTAAGAGGAAAGGGGAAAGGGGGAGAGTCTGCTTAGGGTGTATTGAGTTTATGTTAATAATGGTAGAATGATTTGGAAAAAGATAGCCAGAATGCTTGTACAACTTGAACAATGCAATCAATGTTATCAAATTTTTCATGTAGAAATTGTTGAGATGGTATGTTTTGTTGTGTATATTTTCACCACAAAAAAAAAAAAAAGCTCACAGCAATTTAGATTCCCCGAGAGTGTGTATTTCCTCTAACCCTTGCCCATGAAACTCACTTTTAAAGGAAGAATAAAAGGTTCTCCCTGTAGGAGTTCGCCCTCCTAATCCCATTACAGCCACACTGTCCCATACACCTTGGCGAATGAATATGAACTCTCATTTCTCAGAAGACCGTGAGGAGGAAAAGAAAGTGCTTTCAGAAAGCTATATCCTTGACACCTCACCATGAGAACAGCTGAGAGAAACGTGTTTCCTATTCAACAGTGAGAACATTTTGATGATATTTTACCTTTATTTTCATCTGTCTTCACAACTTGGACAAAATCTCTTCTAATGAAGTATTCGAAAGCGGGAGCTCGCTTCTCTTGGTTTTCGTCAAAGATCCAGAGGTTGACTCGAGCCCGTGTGATGGCAGTATACAACTGCTTCAGCTCTCCATTGAGGAGCTAGAGATGAGGTTGAAGATAAAGATGATGAGCCCGTTGTCAATAGCTACAATGTGACACATTCAATGGGCTTACTCTGATTTAGGAAAAACACAGAAACAAAATTTTAGAGAAGGATGGCCCAGCTGGGAACGGGACATAAGTGGCTCATGGTTGCTGTGGGTTAGAAAGTGGGGCTCTCGTAAAACAAAACGAGACTAATGGGGCACAGAAGCCCAGGGACAAGGACTAGAAGGCAGCAGGGGACAGGAAAGCTAGTAACAGGGAACCCAAGGTCTAAAACGGACAGTGTTGACATGTCGTGGGGTTGTTAACCATTGTCATAGGGCAATATGTGTACTAACTGTTTAATGAGAAATTATTTGTTCTGTAAACCTCATCTATAGAACAATAAAAAAAAAAGAAAGTGGGGCTCTGAGAAACCCCACTTCTTTCCCTCTCCCACTAAGAAGGCAACTGAGCTTGCTGTCATTCTTTTTTGACTTTTTATTTTGAAATAATTACAGATTCAAGGGACGTTGCAAGCATCGTAGAGAGAGTTCTCAACAGTTCCCGCTCCCCCTTCAGCCAGGTTACCCAATGGTTACCTCTCACATAATTGCCGTAACTCACTTTTCCTTCTGTGGTAAATTACCTACACACAACTTAAAACTCACCATTTTAGCCATTTACAGCGTAAAATTCAATGGCATTCAGTACCTTCACAACACTGTGCGAACAGCTCCACTATGTAGTTTCAAACAACACTTTTATCACCTCAGAAGGAAACCCTGTACCTGTTTAAACCGTCACTTCCCCTTCCTTCCTCCCCAGAGCCCTGGAACCACTGATGAATCTGCTTTCTGTCTCTGTGGATTGCCTATTCTGGAAATTTCATATAAGTGGAATCCTACAATAGGTCGCCACTGTGTCGTATTCTTTACTTAGTATGTTTTCAAGGTTCATCTTGTTGTAGCATATATCAGTACTTCGTTCCTTTGTATGGCTGAAAAGCATTCCACTGGATGGATAGATTACATTTTGTTATCCATTCATCTGTTGATAAATAAGTAAGGTGAAAGAATACAACACTGCCACACACCTTTTTCACTTTTAAACCACGCAGTATCCCCTTGTCCTGTTCGAACCACTGCCTCTCAATCCACATATAGGTTTCACAGGAGCACAAATAAGCGTTCTAGAATTCCATTCTTCAAAACATTATTTGTTATGATCCACACAGTGAAATGCCTTTGTACAGTCAATAAAACACAGGTAGACACCCTTTGGGTATTCTCTGCTTCTGGCCAGATCCACATGAAGAAGAATGTGGCAGCAGGATTGGAGGAAGTCTCATTAACAACCTGTGATATGCAAATGACACAATCTTGCTTGCTGAAAATCAAGACAACTTGAAGACCTTGCTGATGAAGGTCAAGGAGTACAGTCTTTAATCTGGATTATGCCTGAACATGAAGATAACGAAAATCCTCCCAACTGGGCCAATAAACAACATCATGACAAATGGAGAAAAAACTGAAGTTGTCAACTATTTCATTCCATTTAGATCAACAATCAGTGTCCCTGGAGGTAGCAGTTAAGAAATCAAATAACATTTTGCATTGGGCAAATATGCTGCAAAAGACCTCTATCAAGTGTTAAAAAGCAAAGATGTCATTTTGAGGACTAAGGTGTGCCTGACCCAAGCCATGGTTTTTTCAATTGCCTCATATTCATGCGAAAGCTGGACAATGAAAAAGGAAGACAGAAGAGGAACTGAATTCAAGCTGTGGTGCTGGTGAAGAATATTGACTGTCTCATGGACTGCCAGAAGAATGAACAAATCTGTCTTAGAAGAAATACAATCAGAAAATGCCTTAGAACCGAGGTCATGAGACTTTGGCTCACTCACATCAGACACGTCATCAGGGAAGACCAACTGCTAGAGAAGGACATCGTGTTTGTTAAAGTAGAGGGTTAACAGAAACGAGGGCAAACCTCAGTGAGATGGATTCAAACGTACCGATGGTCGTGAAGATGGCACAGGGCTGGGAAACATTTCCTTCTGTCATATACAAGGTTGCCGTGAGTCAAGACCAGCTCAGAGGCAACTAACAACAACTGCTGATGAACATTTAGGCCGTTCCCACCTTTTGGCTACAGTGAATAGTGCTGCTCTGAACATTCATGTACAAGTTTTTGTTTAACCACCAGTTTTCAGTTCTTTTGGGTATATACTTGGGAGCAGAATTGTTGAGTCCTGTGGTAATTCTATGCTTAACTCACTGAAGAATTGCCAAACTGTTTTCCACAGTGGCGACACCATTTTATATTCCCACCAGCAATGGATGAGGTTCTAAATTTCTTCACATTCTTACCTGGACTTTTATTTTTGGGAAGAGTTTGAGAAGGATTGATGTTAATTTTTTTTTAAATGTTTGGGAGAAGTTCATCAGTGGAGTCATTTCTCTGAAAGGTTTTTGATTACTTATTCAAGCTCTTTACTTGTTACAGTCTGTTGAGATTTTCTAATTCTTCCAGAGCCAATTTAGGTAATTGGTGTGTTTCTAAGAATTTGTTCATTTCATCTAGATGGTCTAATTTGTTTCCATGCATACGATTGTTAGTAGTATTCTCTTGTAATCTTTTTTATTTCTATAAGATTTGTAGTAAAGTCACCATTTTCATTTCTGGTTTTAGGAAGCTGTGCCTTCTCTCTTTCTTACTTCATCAGCGTAGCTAAGGTTTAATCAATTTATTAATCTTTTCTAAGAACTAACTTTTGGTTTTGGTGATTCTCTATTGTTTTTCTATTTTCTATTGCATTTTTCTTTGCTCTACTCTTCCTTCTGCTAGCTTTGGGTTTGGTTTGCTCTTCTTTTTCTAATACCTCAAGGTGTAAAGTTAGGTTAGAGATTTGAGATCTTTCTTCTTTTTTATTGTAGGCATTTACAGCTATAAGTTTTGGTATGTTATACTTTCATTTTTATTAGTCTCTAAGTGTTACCTTTGGAAGATAATGAAATGATTAAATAAATGAAATTGTGTGGGAAAATGGCTGAAAATCACCTTGTACATTTCTGGATTCAGCGTGAGAGACCGACCCTTCGAGGAGCTTAGTTTTTCCAGGGGCACGTCAATCAATGGCTGGCTTTCCTCTCTGGAGTCAGGTGATGGAGACGTAAACGAGGAAATGATCTTCCATTCCTTGTAAGCCTGAACAACAATGACAAATTAAAGACCAACAAAATATGCTTTCGAACCGTACACCCAACCTTCCTGAGCCTCACAGAGAACTGAGCCCTACCTTTTCCTGCCACGGGGGGCAGGCCTTCAGCCCCAGTATGAGGAGGCAGCCATTCTGGGTCCTCAGAGTAGGATGGGAGGGAGGGCTTAGGACGCACAGGTGAGGATCAGGGAAACTACAGTGAAAACTGCCCAGACAGTTGGTCAAGACAGCTTGGTCAGGGACCCAACTTCCAAGAACAACTCTAAGGGCCCCGAAAGTTATTCCATCTGACTACCTGCTTCTTGACGAATTTCAACAAGCAGTACAGAAAGAGGTGCCTGGTGTTCTAATGTCTTTTCACACCACAGTTAAGAGATGCCACTTAGGGTCAGCAGTTAAGACGTGTGGCAGAATTTTCTAACTAGGTTACTCAATCAAACAACAACCGAAGAAGATTCAGGAGCTGGAAGTTGACTCAGAAGTCAGACAGAACAAATCTATGTCTTGGTTCTTCTACTTGTTTGCTATGTGACCTTGGAAAAATTGTTTACTCTTTTCTAGACTTCATTTCCTGCTCCGTAAAATGGGGATGATAGAATGCCCCAAGTTTTTTGGGAAAATAGAAGGGGATAATCAAATGTCTAGTATAATGCCTGATAAATAGTTGCTATTTTGCCCATTTTTCCTTTACCCAAGCCCCCAAAACAAGGTAACTGTGTAGACCAGGGGTTGGCCAACTTTCTCCTAAAGGGTCAGGTAACAAACGTCTGAAACTCTGTGGGCCATAAGGTCTCACTCACAGCTACTCCACTCGCTGCTGTGCGAAAGCGGCCCCAGACAATGCATAAACAAATGGGCGTGGCTGTGGGCCGATTAAACTTTACGGACGTTAACATTCGTTTCATATAATTTTCATGTGCAACAGAATATTATTCTTCTTTTGATTTTTTCCAATGGTTTGAAAATATAAAAACCATTCTTAGCCCATAAGCTGTACAAAAACAGGCCCTAAATTTGGTCCATGGACGTAATTTGCAGACCTGGTAAAGCTGAAGTGGCCAGCTGAAATGCGGTATTTAGAGTCCAGAATTCCTGTGAATTCTAGCCTTCATATTTGAGTATGTCTTGTGAGAGTAGCTAATTAATTCTGCAGGACTTTATTTCTCTATTTACAAAACGGTGCTCCTTGCCACCTTTGTCTGTTTTCAAGGATGCCGAAAAGACAAAGTAGGGATAGTTGATTAAATGCTTTTAAGTTGCCCTAGGACTTAAACTACGTAAATATCAAGTTAAATTATTTAAAAACTGTCTACTAAGTAGGAATGGTTGTGCTACTAATCAATTTACTTTGGACATGTTATCAGGAGGGATCAGTCCCTGGAGAAGGACGTCATGCTTGGTAAAGTGGAGGCTCAGTGAAAAAGAGGAGTACCCTCAACAAGATGGACTGACACAGTGGCTGCAACCGTGGGCTCAAGCATATCAACAATTGTGGGGATGGCGCAGGACCGGGCAGTGTTTCGTTCTCTGTGAATCTCTATGAATCACAACCAACTCAACGGCACCTAACAATAACTAAAACACCACCACTAATCAATTATAGAATCAACAACCACACTCTGAAAACAGATATGAATCATGTAATCATTTAAATAGTTAAATAAGGTTAAAAAAAATCTTCTGGGCATATTTATGACTGTACTCTTGGTAAAGCTGTTTAGACGACTAGATTGTCTGCCAAGAAAAGCAGGCAAAAGACACAAATGCTTGACATTTGAGAGGATCCTCCCGGCAGACAGCAGGAGTTGACAGTGGATGACTTGGAAAAGCCTAGTGAAGCACAATGTATTTTGAAACTGCTGGATGAGAAGCAAAAGCTGCTCAGATGGCACATGACTGACGTGATTCCGTGAATGAAATACATTTTATTTTCAAGACAGGGCCTTGTAGGAGTGAGTACGTGTATTTCGTGAAAAGGATACAGGCCTGCAGCACTTCTGGCAATAAAAGCAGAAGCATCTGAAACTCTTCCAGCTTCTTCTATTGGGACTAATAATTGTGAAAGAAAAGGCAAACCTACCTTTGAGGAGTGCGTTATCAAAGTCAGTTAAACAGCCCAGAAAAGCTGTGGCTTTCAAAGTCCCCCTGTTCCATTCATTGGCTTCCACATGGGTGTGAAGGAAAAGACTCATATCTAGGGCACAGTGTAAATGGCATAGCACCCTCCCAAGTCCTCGCAGGAGGATAGCTTTGGGGTGACTAGGAGAATGACTACCCCTCCCCAGAGATGAGGCAAAATCTTACAGAAGAAGGGTTCGGTGTAACCAAGTCCCTTCCCCATCTCAGAAGATGGTCCTGGTAGTGATGCAGTTGAGCAGGTAACAATAAATTCTCTAAAGGGAAGACTCACAAACCAGGGTGTCGAGAAGCCCACACACATACACTTTCAGGTGACAGGTGCTGCAGAGAGAACCCCTGCCTGAAACATAACCAGGGGGTGGAAAAGAGGCCGGGGGAGAGAAAAGCTCTCCGTGGTTCTCTCACTGTGTCAAACAGCAGCTCTCAGACAATCAAAGCAAATGCCATGTGAGCAGCCAGACCGGCAGCTTGGGACATACGTAATCCCTGTCTTTCCTCTCCTTTGATTAAAGCATTTCCTCTCATTTCCTCGTGGGGTCTTGAGGTTTGTCATCCATAAACTGAGGGTGTACTTTGCCAGGGCATGGATGGTTACATTCCCTGGTATATTCAAAAGCAGCACATCAAAAGTCTTTTTAGGAGACGTGTTTGGATGCTAACCGGAAGGTCAGCAGTTCAAACCCACCAGCCGCTCCGTGGGAGAAAGATGTGGCCATCTGCTTCCATCAAGATTTACAGCCTTGGAAACTCTATGGGGTCGCTATGAGTCGGCATCGAATGGACGGCAGTGGGTTTGGGTATTCTTTTTTTCATTGTATGCATAGTATGAAGCAGATGTTACCAAAAGACTAAATTTGTGATTGTTTTAATTTCATGCAACTCACTGAGCGGTTGGAGCATACGGTCAAGATACCTGGGCCTCTGTCATTTCCAGGGTCAAGATGAGACGAACTACTGGATTTTTCTTGAATAAACAGAGCCAACCACAAGTTACCAAAAACCCACCATCGTCAAGTCGATTCCAACTCATAGCCACCCTACAGGACAGAGCAGAACTGCCCCATAGTGTTTCCAAGGCTGTAAATCTTTACAGAAGCAGACTGTCAAATCTTTCTCCTGTGGAGCGGCTGTGGGTTCAAACCACTGACCTTTCTGTTAGCAGCCAAGCGCTTAACCTCTGCCACCAGGGCTCCTCAACCACAAGTTACAGATCCATAAATCCAGAGCTCCTTGAGCATCTGACTGGCATAAGCATACAACTTTCACTTAACAAAGTACAGGAACAACAAAGTCTTACCCCTTTCTCTTTTAGGAGAGCCTCGGTCCAACCAACGACCAATGGATGTATTATGAGAAAAAAAAAAGTTAGTCCTCAGAGGTTAAAAATGGTTCCAGGTTAAGGAGGGTGCATCACATTTTACCAGCAAAAGGCAATAAAAAGGGAATGTACATAAGGCATGGCAATGATAAACTCATCATGAAAGGTTCTGGAAGCCAATTTGCATGCGGGCCTTTAAAAGGAAGGGGAGTACAGTAGAAAGATCATGAGATTTAGAACTCAAAGCATCTGGATTCATCTCTAGGCTCCACCACCTGCATTATGACTATGGGCAATTACTTAACCCCCATGACCCTCTGCCACTACGAGGGTAAAAAGATACACACCTCGGAGGGCTGGTGGAGAATGAAGTGAGATAATACATTCAAAAAGGACTTTATAAACTGTAAAACCCAAAAAACCCAAACCTGATGCTATCGAGTCGATTCAAATTCATAGTGACCCTATAGAATGGAGTAGAACTGCCCCATAGAGTTTCCAAGGAGCGGCTGGCGGATTTGAACTGCTGACCTTTTGGTGAGCAGCCATGCAGCCATGCTCTTAACCACTGTGCCACCAGGGCTCCTATAAACTGTGAAGCGCCCATAGAATATTAACTGTAGGTATTAAGGCAAACGCGGCATGAAAGAATGACCAGAAAAAAAAGAAAGCAAGGACTCTATTTCAAGGGTCAGTTCTGGAATGGATTTCAAGCGCTCCTGACTTGGGTGTAAAAACTGCCCCTTCCAGCACACGTCCCGGGCAGTGGGAAGTCTGCAGCAGGGACCAGGACATAGAGAGCTGAGTCCTCGAGGGAGACTCCACAGCAGTCAGTGGTCAGCCTGAGTGCCTGTCAAAAGACGGTGACGACGAGAAGCCAGCAGCAGAAAACCAAGGACAACGATCTTGAGTTGGTGGCTTTATCCATAACGTACTACGCTCGGGGAGTAAAAACCATCACAAGGACTCAGGAGCCAACTCAAAACAATGGGCTGGCACAGAGGTTACTGAGGGTCAATCCAGGGACACTTGTGCTGCCATTGTCTGCGTGGGTTGCAAGCAGTGGTTGGGAAGCCATGCCAGAAGGGGCTCCCAGGCAGGGCAGCTGCCCTCATCCCCTCATTACCTGATCCAGTGGGCAGGAATTAAGATTCACTTGTCTTTCCGGAGCAGTCTCTTTCTATGAACTGACAGAGCCCAGGTCTGTCCTCATGGGGTGGATATTGCTAACCTTGCCTTCACTCGTAAAGCTCTCCTTAGAGTTTGTTCCAACTTGGGTATCCCTGGGAGCCAAGGATAACAACAGCTAATGAGCACCGAAAACTGGAACTTGGGTACCAGGCATGCAGGAGAGGATGAATACAAGAGAGTCGGGGAGGGCAGGGCACGAGGAAAGGCAGCCTATGACACGCTGTGAAACATCCACAGCCATTGTCCAAGCCCACAACCAAACACGCAAAACCCCGCACTGAATGGGTGACGCTCGCGTGACACACTCTCTTATCCTCAGGGCCAAATTCTCTTCCCTTCCGGGGACGGGCAGCCCACACGCATACATGCACTGTGGGAAGGGCATTCACTACCACGTACCTCAGAATCAGTAAAAAAGTTGTAAAGGAGGACATCATCAAATTCTAAGCCTTTCGCTTCATACACCGTTAGCACAAGTGCTAACCCCAGCTCTTCTGGAATCTTCTCCTTTGCCATTTCATTGGCAACAAGGATTACCTGAAAAAAAAAAGAAACAACGAAAATAAAAATAAAAAAGCAGGGAGTACGTTAGAAGAGGAAAACCATCAAAGTCTACAAAAAGCTCATAAAGCTCAGCTTACTTCTATGGGATGCAGGTAACATCTTTAAGGAGAAGTGGCCAGCATGGACTTGGTTGGCCAGGCAAGTGGAAATACCAGTAACAATTACCCATTCTGGGACAAAGACAATTGGATTCTATCTTGTGGAATAACTAAGACTCTTAATTTTTTTAAATTGCAATCTGCCTTTTGTTTCAAAACCTAAAACCATGAGAAGCTCACCTGGTGGGCTCCAAATTCAATGGGCTGGCTTTTCCTTTTGTTTCCTCTTAGGAGAATTGCCAAGTCGCTCACACTACAAGACTCCAGGACAGTTGGTTTGGGGCCATCAAAGAGGCCAGAACCCCTCGGAAGGGGATCAAAAGATTCTGGGAAATAGAACTGAAGTAAATCCACTACTCCAGATGCCAGATTGAGGATTCCTAGGATAAAACAGAAGACACATGTCAGGTACTGTACAACAGGCCTCAATTTTTTGATGTTGTTGTTTTTCTCTGACATGCAGTATTTTTCTGAGAAGGAGCAGACATAATTGCAAGCCTACTGCCTTCCAGTTCCCATCTGATGATCACTTTGACCCTGAGCTGAGGATGAAAGCAGAGACGTGCTCTGGGTGCAGTGGATAAAGGCAGAGACGTGCTCTGGGTACAGTGGATGAAGGCAGAGATGTGCTGGTTTGCTGAGTTTTGTGAGATCTCATTCCCAACCTCCAGTCATGTCAGAGAAAATTTACCTCATAAAGAAGAGTCAAGGCAGAAACATAATCTGAACGATCAGAGCTGTTCGAGTGCTAATATAAGGGGCCAGTATAAATGGTCAAGAAACAATATTCTCCTGCCCTCTCGCACTGGTGCTTACAGCAGTGGAGGCCACGTTGCCATGATGACCGCAGAGCTGATGTTAACTGGCCGTAGCAACCAAGGCCCCATCATCTTTTCCCACCAGGTTTACATCCAGCTGAGAGGGGGCTGTGGTAAGAAAAATTCTCAGAACTCAAGAGAGGACTTTCCAGAAGGCCCTGGTCCCCATTTCTAGTCGAAGCTCTGAAAGGGCAGTGACACTTATCAGTGTCAGCTACCCACATAAAAATCCCCCTGTCTAATCGTCATAAACGCCCAGTGCGGCAGACGAGACGATCCTACTTCTACAAACAGGGAGCCCGAGGTCCCAGACGCTAAGGAACACCTCCAAGTGACGGGATTTGCAGCTGGATTGAACCCAGATCTTCCTGGGCATCTCCACTGTGCTTAGAGGTCACAGGCCTGTTGCCCAACATCGGGTAGAATACTATGGTCTCAGAACAACACCAGGAAATGGATGTATGCCCTCACAGCAATTACTGAATAATAAAAATAATTTTTGATATAACAATACTTAATGAAGGAAAGACAGTTCAGCTATATAAAGGAAGGACATTCTGATACATGCTACCACATGGATGAACCTTGAAAACATCGTGTCAAATCAAAGAAGCCAGTCACAAAGGACCACATATTATATGATTCTATTTATATGAACTGTCCACCAGCCGCTCCTTGGAAACCGTATGGGGCAGTTCTATTCTGTCCTATGGGGTCGCTATGCGTTGGAATTGACTTGATGCCAACGAGGTTTTTTGTTTTTAATGATTTTGAATTTAGGTCAGTATTTAAATTTAGGTAGATCTTTAATCTACATAAAATGTGGTTGTGGTGTGAAATATTTGTTAAGATAACTTTCCAGTGACCTAATTTTACTTTTTTCCACATGGACAATCAGTGTGACAATGCTAGTTACTTCATAGGCCCTCCTTTTTCCTGATTTGCAACGCTTCTTTTTTTCACATATCTGTGAGTCTCTTTCTGAGCTCACTATTCTATTTGATTTGCTTTATTTGTTTGTTCTTGGGCCATTATCACACTGTCCTATTTACTATAGTTAGCACATTTCTCAAACAACTCTTTGTAATTTTGATTGGAATTTCATCAAATTTATGGCTGTTTGGGAAGAATTCACGTTATTGAGTGAATAATGTGAATTATTGTCCTTTTCTCACGTAAATAACGCGCCCACCCATATAACACCTGGCATAGTGTGCTTACAAAAATAGCGTGGGGGGGGATTGTATGGTCAGCAAAAATATATACATAACGTGTTATTTGCGTAAAATATGGTACTGAGTTTTCTGAAACATGATCTTGGTGTATTTCTCCATTTATTCGGCTTTTTTCTTACTTCCTCCACTAATGTTTTATACATTTCCCCAGATGTTTTGCACAGTGTTAGATTTATTCCCAGGCACCTTATACTTTTTGTCTGGCACAATACCATTAAATAAAGTTTTTAAACACATAAAATAACACTACATAATTGTTTATGAACATATGTAGGGCATACCAAAAAAAAAAAAAAACCCCACTGCTATCAAGTTGTTTCTGACTCATAGCGATCCCATAGGGTTTCCAAGGCTGTAAATCTCTGTAGAAGCAGACTGCTACATCGTTCTCCACGGAGCCACTGGTGGTATCAAACTGCCAATCTTTCCATTAGTAGCCAATCACTTTAACCACTGCACCACCAGGGCTCCTTATGTAGGGCATAGGAGGTGAATAAGCCATAAACCATAAAGCAAGCATTCTGGCATTGGTGGCATGTTATTTAAGCCTTCTTGCCTCAGTTTCCTCCTAGGTAAAACGAGAATAATACCTACCTTGTAGGGTTGTTTAAGAAGTCCTGGTGGTGCAGTGGTTAAGTGGTTAAGTAAAGATTAAACAAAAAAAATCCACTGCCATCGCGTTGATTCCAACTCATAACAACCTTATAGGACAGAGTAGAACTGTTCCATATGGTTTCCAGGGCTATAAATCTTTTTTTTGTGTGTGTGTGTATGTGTGTGTGCTTTAGGTAAACTTTACAGAACAAATTAACTTCTCATTCAACAATTTATATACAAATTGTTTTGTGACATTGTCAATACTCTCCCCTTCCACAGCCCAGTTCCCCCTATCCATCTGTCCATTATTTCTCTCCTTTCCTGCCTTCTCATCATTGTTTTTGGGCAGGTGTTACCCTTTCAGTCTTGTATACATGACTGAATTAAGAAGCATGTTCCTCACATGTGTTACTGTTTGTTTTACAGGCCTGTCCACTCTTTGGCTGAAGGGTGAACTTTGGAGTGGCTTCAGTTCTCAATTAAAAGGGTGCCCAAAGGCCATAGTCTTGGGGGTTCTTCCAGTCTCTGTCAGACCAGTAAGTCTGGTCTTTTTTTTTTGTGACTCTGAATTTTGTTCTACATTTTTCTCCCACTCTGTCCTAGACCCTCTATTGTGATCCCTGTCAGAGTGGTTGGTGGTGGTAGCCGGGCACCATCTAGTTCTTCTGGGCTCAGGCTGGTGGAGGTTGTGGTACCTGTGGTCCATTAGTCCTTTGGACTAACAGTTCCTTCGTGTCTTTGGTTTTCATCATCCTCCTTTGCTCCAGACAGGATGGGACCAGTAGATGTATCTTGGATGGCTGCTCATGAGCTTTTAAGACCCCAGACGCTACTCAACAAAGATGGATGTAGAACATTTTATTTATGAACTTTTGTATGCCAATTGACCTCCTCATCCCTCAGCCATGGTAACTCAGTCCCTCAGGGTGTTTGGATGTGTCCATGAAGCTTCTATGACTTTGCCTTGGTCAAGTTGTGCTGACTTCCCTATACTGTGCACTGCCTTTCCCTTCACCAGAGTTAATACTTATCTACTATCTACTTAATGATTTCCCCTTCCCAACCCTCCTCAACCTCGTAAACATCAAGGATTGTTTCTTTCTGTGTGTAAACCTTATCTGGAGTTTTTATAATAGTGATCTCATACAGTATTTGTCCTTCTGTGACTGACTTATTTCACTCAGCATAATGTCCTTCAGATTCATCCACATTGTGAAATATTTTGCAGATTCATCGCTGTTCTTTATCGTTGCATGGTACTCCATTGTGTGTATGTACCATAGTTTGTTTATCCGTTCATCTGTTGATGGGCATCTAGGTTGTTTCCATCGTTTTGCTGTTGTAAATAATGCTGCAGTGAACATGGCTGCACATACGTCTATTTGTATGACAGCTCTTATTTCTCTAGGATATATTCCCGGGTGTGGGATTGCTGGATCGTATTGTATTTCTATTGCTAGCTTTTTAAAGGAGTACCATATTGTTTTCCATAGTGGTTGGATGATTTTACATTCCCACCAGCAGTGCATAAGAGTTCCAATCTCCCCACAATCTCTCCAACAGTTATTATTTTCTGTTTTTTTGATTAGTGCCAGTAATGTTGGGGTGCCAAGGCTGTAATCTTTATGGAAGCAGACTGCCACATCTTTCTTCTGCGGAGTGGCTGGTATGTTCAAACCACTGACTTTTCAGTTAGCAGCGGAGCACTTAACCACTGCACTACCAGGACTCCTCCAAGTAAAGATTACAGCTTTGGAAATCCTATGGGGCAGTTCTACTCTGTCCTAAGGGTCACTATGAGTCAGATTCTACTTGATGGCAAAGGGTTTGTTTTTTTGGCGTTAGGACTGTTCTGAGGATTAGGCAGAGGATGAACCAGAATTGATTCGATGGCAACTAACAGTAACTACAAATATATGTGAACTGCTACGCATGTACCTGGCACAGCCAAAGGGCACACCCGAGCTAGAAACTGAACGGATGTTGAACATGTGTTTGTTAAAAGGAAGGACTATGAAGTAAATGGTATTGACATACTGATTATCCATATGGAAAAAAGGGAAATTAGGTCACACCACAACCACATTTTAGACAGATTGAAGATCTACCTAAATTTAAATACCTACCTCCCACCACCTCCCACCCCTCTTTTTTTGCTTCTCCTTAGGAAATAAGCTGCTTTAAGTATCAATGATTTATTAACAGTAATTTTACAATTACTTTATAGAATAAACAGGCGTCTCCAAAGTGCTTCAACCAAAGTTCTCAAACAGTGTAAATGTTCCCCTGAAATGTTTTCATGTCATGGCAAACTCTTTAAGATACTTAAAGGTAGCTAAAGGTACATCTCTATCCAGCTACAGCTTGAATTACCAACTTAAGAGTGAGTAGTGGCAGAAACCATAAGGTCTCTTGTTCATGAATCTGTTGGCAAACAAAAATACTGTCCTTACTCAAGCTGCAAAAGCCTAATGAAAGCAAGCCCACAGCTTCAAAAGCAGCCCTAGGTCAGTGCCCAAGCACCCTGCCCCACAGGCGCACCCAAGCTGGACCTACCCGAGTGGGACCTGTAATTCTGGTACAGCTGGTGGATCCTCTCGGGTTTCCGGACAGTGCACTGCTTGTTCGTGTTGTTCCTGCTGGCGTAATGGAACAGGGAGCGCAGATCACTGAAGCGGAAGGCCACGCCCCTCATGATGCTCTGGGCTGTGTCCCCAGTGAGGAACATAGCGTTGGGGTCATTGATGCATTTCATCAGCAGTGCCAGCTCGGCTTGGGTGAAGTCCTGAATCTCGTCGCCATAGAGCTCATGGATGGACCACGGAAGCACCTTGAGCTTTGACAGCCTCCGGGACAGGTTGTACAGGACATCCTCCTCATCAAAATAACCTTTCTGGAACCTGATCTGTTGATACAGGCAGAAGAGGCTGTAGATCTCACTCCGATCTTCCTTAAAATTGGGGGACCGTTTCTTCCCTAATTTCTTATATGCTTCTTCAGTAAGTCTTCCATGGGGGCAGCTGAGGGCCTCAAAAGACCCTTTCAGAAAAGACTTTATTTCTTTCCAAATCAGTGCAGGGTTGTAGGAGGTTTTTCCTTTGGTCATCTTGGGCCATATTTCGTTGGTGAACACCTCAAAAGTCAAGTATGCTCGGGGGTCACTGTCACTCGTGCGTGCTTCTGCAGTTTTATCCTCCTCATCACTGTCCCTGTCCACCTCCACCTCCTCCTCATCCTCCTGCCAATGGAGGATGGTCATCTCTTCCTGTGTGGACCACCCTACGATGGTTCTTTTCAAGCTGCCGTCTTCGTTCCTCGGAAAAAATGGCTCAGGCAGAGAAGCGTCAAGCAGAAGGAGCAGTTGCTTGGAAGTGACAAACAGAGGAAAGTTCTCATCCTTCAGGTCCTGGAGTTTGTGAACATTGGGCTCCAGGGGTTTGTAGTGACTTGTGGCCTTGGTAGACTTGGAAAGCTCAGTGAAATTCCTCTGTACCTCCTGGCACAGGACGTGGTTCTTGGTAACAAAGATCTGATGCAGATGCTCCAGCTGGTGGGCATGATCTGGCACACAGAGCTCCTCTGCTTGGCCGTCTCCAGCCAGCTCCGTGTCAGGTCCCTCCACACCAGTGTCGCCCTCCTGCTCCTCATCTATGCTGTCCACTGTTTCCGCTTCAACTGAACCTTCCTCTTCCTCATCCTCTTCCTCCTCCTCCTCTTCCTCCCAACCTGGACCCTCTTTGCCAGGTTCTACTTCCAATCTTCTCTTCAACCAGGTCTGTTTGGCCAGCAGTGGGCTCCCTGCCTGCTCAGCTTTCTCCCAGTAAACGTGGAATTTCTTCCACAGTCTGTACAAGCAGCAGGTTGTCTTCCCGGTGCCGCTCCGCCCAATGAGGATGATAGGCTCCAGCGGCTTGGGGTTGAGGTTGATCACCGCATACTCGAGCTCACCCACCCGGAATGGGTACTCCACCTTTGCCTTCATGTCGTTGAGGATGTTGAAGGCCATGCTGGTGCTGAAGCTGTGGAACTTCATGATGTTGTACTCTGTCTCCACCGCGCTGGCCGGGGGGAAGTATTCGGGATCCATGCACTCCCTGCCCTTCTCTGCCTCTGTGTCTTCCATGTAGCAGCGGGGTATCCGCTTCTGGATTTTCATGTTGGCAGACATCTGGCCTTTGTCGATACCCTTCAGCTTCTTTCGCAGAATGCAGGACAGGCCCCGGTTGTAGGCGCTGCAGATGGCCCTGATGGAGTCCGACAGCTTACCGTGATCCAAGACGATGTCCCAAATCCGGATGATTTCCGTGTAGACCTGTCCCGACTTGTCCACAGACTGCACGTTCTGCTCTGTGGTGATGATCTTCTCTGGGCTCTCACTGCATCGAGGCGAGAAGTCAATGGCCAGTTCCCACAGCATCCGGGCTCCTTTGTCCAGCTTGGCTTCGAAGAGCCGGATCTTTCCTTTCAGGTGCTTCAGCCGCTTCTGCAGGCCCTGGGTCCACTCACCATTCCCCAGATGCTGGATGGCAAGGATGATCTTCTTCTTCATGACCTTGGTCATTGCCTTACTTGAGAGTTTCTTCAGCATCTCTGATGTGCACTCGATCTCCCAGGTCATGTTATCAAAGTCCTGGAGGCAAGTCTCAATGTCCTGCATGCTCCAGTCCTCCTGGTCCTTGCTGTCCTCTGTCCCTCTGTTAACAACAGGAATGAGCTGTGTGGCCCCAAGGCCTGCCTGAGCATGTCCTTCCTCTGCCTCAGCGGGGACAGGATTGCTCCCAGTATGGTCAGAGCTCCTGGTATCTGGGCTTTGTTGGAACTCATCTTTCTCTACTTCCGTGCCTGCTCCTGCCACCAGAGGCTCGGCACACTGAGGACAATCTTCTGGGAGGAACGTATTCAGTTCAACCCGCTGAATCAAAATCGTGATGTCCTGCACGAGACGGTCTCTCAGATAGCATGGCCTGAAGTCTTCAGGCTCCTGCCTTGCCACCTGGGCATCAGGGACGATCTCCCAACTGTCAGCGACCCCAGCTCCTTCTGGCTGGGGGTTGGCAGTGACGTCACATGGCAACGACTTAAATGAACCCTGAGACTTGGGTTGAGACGTACGGCCTGGGGTGGCAGGCCTCGGGAGCTTCCCCAGGTGAGCGGCAGAGTCCTGTCGGCTCTTCCGCCTGCTCTCCGTCAGAGCTTTGTTCCAGGCCAAGAGCAGAGGGTCGTTCTTCTTGATCCGGTGCCGTGCGTCTTTGCCCTCTTTGTTCCTCAAGTTAAAGTTGATGTTAAACTTCACCAGCAGGTCTATCAGCTTCTTCATGCGCTTCAGCATGCCCTTCTGGAAGAGGATGTGCATCAGCGTGTTCCCGTTGCCATCCTGGACGTTGGGGTTAAGGTAGTCATACTTGGTGGGGTTGGACAAGAATAGGTCCAACAGGTGGCTGAGGAAGCTAAAGCCGATGTCAGCTGAAAGACACAAACAAGACCCTGTGAGTGCTGGGCCAGTCTTCTCAGAGGCCAGAAGACCCCTGGGCTTGAAAGAGATGCCAACCAGGGGCATCTCAGAACATGGAATGTCCCCGGGTGTTTGATACCCAGTGGTTCTCAACCAAGAGAAATTTTGTCCCCCAGGGAACATTTGGCAATGTCTAGAGACGTTTTTGATTGTCACAGCTGAGAGGACTCCACTATCATCAAGAGGCTAGAAGCCAGGGATGCTGTTAAACATCATAGCACAACACCCCACAACAAAGAATTATCCAGCCCAAAATGTCAATCGTGCCAAGGAAACTCTGAAATAACCTTATAACATTCCAGCAAGATCCTTTGTCAGGACCTTCAAAAAGGTGTAAATAAATAGAAAGCATTTGTCAGCTACCAGCATCCAACTCTGGGACTTAGGAATCCTTAATTAGTCCACCTTGACCATTCACCACGATGGTCACTTCCTCCATGAAGCTGTGCATGACAGGCCAGGACATACGGGCTGGTCTGGCCAAGAAATGAGCCTTTTTCAGACCATTGGTTTTCCCAAAAGGAAAGACCAAAAACACAGCATCGATTCTAACATCCAGCTTCCTCCTCAAGGAGAAGACCGCTGCCCAACTAAGAGCTTACCATTTACATCTAAAAATATGTGAAGTGCTGCATGCAAAGGAGTATCGCCTTCCGCGAAAGAAACGCCGTGGGGGGCTGCACCCTTGGTCAAGAGAAGAAAAGCCAACTCGAAGTCCTTGAATTTCAGGCACAGGGTGAGGGGGCTCTCTTTGTTCTCCTGGAGACCCTCAGGCGAAGCTGGGGGAAGACAGAAGAGAAGGACCCAGTGAGCCACATCCCTGTGAAGAGGCACGGCCTGGGAGGCGGGAGGGACAGCTTCTGCCATTTAGTTCCAAGGGAAGAGCTGATGCTGATCCCGACTTCCAAGCCCCTCCTACCACCAACCGTCCTGGAAGGCAGAGGTTTCCTGGCACCCTCAGGGTAAAAGCCCAGCTCCTCTGAGCACCCCGTTCATGGACCCTGTCCCTCCCACCTCTCCAGTGGCCCCCTTGTCCCACCACAGAGAGCATAGTTTCCACCGTTAGCGTTCCTCTAGAGTGAGGACAGAGTGTCGGAACCATTAAAATTCCAATGCTGGCTTAATATGATACTGGACACATGGTTGGTCCCAGGAAATGGGTGATGCTTCCTACATTCTTTGCTTCTACTAACTTCTACCCCAGAATGTACGGCTACCCTCAGTTGCCATTCTCCCTGACACCTCTCCACCCCCATGTCACCTTTTTTTTGAGCTCGGTTCCTGCATCACCTCTGCTGCAGGCTCCCGGCCTCCTCCACAAGGCAAGGCGAGCTCACTCACTAACGGATCAGCAGCCCTACTACGCACGTCTCCGGCAGCCATGCATCCCCTCTGAGGCCTTGGTTCCTAGCACTCTCCCTGGTAGGAGCTCTATACACATGTACTGAATCAAAGACTAAAACAGGAATTCCATAGCAGCCATAGTTTCCAGGCAAAGGAAGCAATACACCACAGGAAGAATGAGTTTGAAGAAATAAATCATGGAAGGTCTCCTCTCTAGCTCCTGAAAGCCTTGGGTGGAGCCAACGCCTGAAGGCTTTGCATTATGGCACTTCAAGAGACAAGGACCAACATGGTGTCACTCCTTATGAAGGGTAGAGGAAAAAACCTGCTTCCGTTGAGTCAATTCCAACTCACAGCAGCCCTACAAGATGGAGTAGAATTACCCCATAGAGTTTCCAAGTTGCAGCTGGTGGGATTCAAACTGCCAACCTTTTGGTTAGCAGCCATAGTTCTTAACCACTATGCCACCATTCTGAAGCGTACTTCCCCTCAAATGGCAAAGTGAGCAGAAAACCACACAGCCAAGGCACTCATCCAAGAGCCTGCATACATTAGCTCATTTAATATTCACAACAACCATAAGAAATAGAAACTACCATCATTCCCATTTTATAAGCAAGGAGACAAAGGCATGAAGAGCATACCCGAGACCACACAGTTAGCAGTGCCAGTAGTGGGGGTGGGGGCAGGAGATGGCTGATGTTTCTAAATTGGTTCTAAAATAAAATCCCACCCAGCAGTACCGTCTGCACACTCCAGACACAAACCTGGCCACGTGTGATCATCCTGATTAAAGCAGCAGATGTTTCCACCCACCGATTATTTGGTTGTTGCTTTAAAAACAAGCATCTCAAATTCCAATCCGCTGGTTAGAAAAGAAGGCCCCCAAAAGTGACAAAGACGCACACAGCACATCAAGCGCCGGGGAAAGTCCAGGCAGAGGTCAGGAGGAAATGACCAGTGTGGCTACGCCAGAGCAGAGCACCTCCACACACCAGAGCAGAGGGCCTCCACACACTAGAGCAGATGGCCTCCACACACTAGAGCAGAGGGCCTCCACACACTAGAGCAGACGGCCTCCACACACCAGAGAAGAGGGCCTCCACACACCAGACACCAGAGCACACAACAGAGGCAGAGAGGACAGCAGTGGTGACTGGAAGTCACAAAAACGCAGAGTTCCTGCAGGGCAAGACCCTCCCGTGCTACAGAGCACAACTGCTCCCTCGGGTCTTCTTGACTGTAATCTTTATGGAAGCAGATCACCAGGCCTGTTGGGGGGCTTGAACGGCCAACCTTTAGGTTAGCGGTCAAGTGCAAACTGTTTGCACCACCCCGGGACCCTCACCACCGACTAACGGGGCGTTAATCCTCTGTTACTGTCTCAAAGCAAGAAGATACGGTGGCAGAGAACAAGGCAGGATTCTAAGGAGTCTCCAAAAGCAAGGGAAAGATCCTGTGAAGGGCAGCTGCCTGGATCCCCCCATCCGGACAAGCTCCCAATGTTTATCATCTCAGCATTTTCACCTCCACTGTCTATGAGGCAGCCCAGGAGCTGCGTTTTCCGCTGGTCCCAGCCGCTGAGGTGTGGGATGATGGCACAGAGGTCAAGGTCGGAGAGACTGCAGTCTTTGATGAGACAGTCTCTGAATGGTGGTTCCCCACTCGCTTTGCCCGTCAACAGCAGCAGGACTTCGGGCCACTTCTGTTTTCCCAGTAAGAACTTGATGAAGACGTTGGCACAGTCGCGATTAATGTTGCAGACCCGGTCAGGAGGAATTTCTTTCAAAAATAAGAACAGACCACACACCAAAAAAGGTTCATATGATTTCTAGTCAACTCCAACACACATGGACATAATTAACACAGATTTCAGACCAGTATTTTTAAGCACCAGGGAAACAGTGGAACCTTGGTGGCGCAGTGGTTATGAGCTTGGCGGCTAACCAAAAGGTCTGGCAGTTGGAATCCACCAGCCGCTCCTCGGAAGCCCTGAGGGGCAGTTCTACCCTGTCCTATAGGGTCCCTATGAGTCAGCATCGACTCGACAGCAACGGGTTTTTTTTTTTTTTTTTTTTTTTTTGGGTTATACAAGAGAGAAATATCTTTAGTGTTTTAAAAATGATGGAATATGCAAAGAGCAATCCTAGGAGGATACGTAAGAAATTAGTAACAAATTGTCTCTGAGGATGGGACTTAGGGACTGAGGTTCAGAGGTGGGGGGTAGACTTCTCACTCAAGAACCTTCCACACTCTTTGAATGTTCTACATGTAGACGTATTGCCTTTGTCATTTTTTTAAATTTAACTTGTAAAAGCATATTAGAAAAGAGCTCTAATGAGCATACGTCACCTCTAACACCTCTGAATGTTGTGACAAATGTTACCTTGCAGAGAAGAAAGGAGGCACAAGAACCTCTGAACTGTGTCTTGCTTCGGAAAGTGTTTACGTAATGACCGGTTTCCTGAGTCCATGCACTTCTCGAGCTGCTCACAGGCTCTCTGGAAGATCTCGCTCTCGTCGACGGGCCCGTCATCATTGCTCGCCTCTGCAAAGCAACGCCAGGTGACGGTTCTGAATACAGAGTTGCAGCTGTGGTAGACAGCAAAAATGACCACATCTCCACCCCCACCATGAGTCCACACGCTTTGCCAACGTGACTCTGCAGGCCCTCCCGTGGGGAGGTGGCGTCCATTTCCCTTTCCCTTGATTCTGGCCTGGCTTTGTCACTTGCCGTAACCGGTAAAATGGAGCGGATGTAATTTTTGTGCCAGTTCTGAGCCTGGGCTTCAAGAGGCCTTGTGTACCTTCTATCGGCTCTCTTGGGCCCTTGGCCTCTGCCATGGGAATACGTCCAAGCTAGCCTGCTGGCAGATAAGAGACAACACAGAACAGAGAGAGTCAAGCCCAGTTGTTTGAACTGAGGCCTCGGAGACGTGAAAGAGTTCAGCCAAGATCATCCAAGTCCACAAATGCTTGATGGTGTTCAGGCAAGGCTGTGGAGAAACCGGAGCCCTCATCCCTTGCTGGTACGAACGTAAAATGGTGTGGCCGCCGTGGAGAACCGTGCGGCAGTTCCTCAAAAACTTAAACGTAGAATTACCATGTGACCCAGCAATCCCACTCCTAGGTATATACCCATAGGAACTGAATACCCACGCAGAAAAACCAAACCCGCTGCCATGAGTCGATTCCGACTCACAGCGACCCTACAGGACAGAGCAGAACTGCCCCACAGTGTTTCCAAGGAGTGGCTGGTGGATTCGAACTGCCGACCTTTTGGTTAGTAGCCGAGCTCTTAACCACTGCGCCACCAAGTCTCTGCAGGCTGCCTTGGGAGGATCTTAATTTGCAGGCACTTCTGTTTGAAGGAGCCTGAACAAAGCAGGCTTCATCAGCCCGAAGACACTGTTGGAGGACAAGCCTGAGGGGCTGACTTTTCCGGGTGAAAGCACACCAAGGTGAGGGAGAATACGGACATGGTAAAAGGGATCCGAGGGCACCCAGGCAGGGGCCAACACTATCTACTACATCTTCTGATCCACACCTGGATCACACTTCAACAAATTGAGTAAGAAGACCAGAAACACACACACACACCCAAAACCCAACTTCTTGGGCAAATGCTTATTGCCTGCAATCAAGAGATCGGCCAGTGCCAGGCAGAAAGAAGCAGAGTGCACAGTAGCATCATCCTCCAGGGAAGAGAAAACGGAAAACCCTCAGCACCTGAGCTAGCAGCTCGCTCTAAGACAGAAAACACGTGTCTGGTGTAACAACATCTGGCTAGCACTCCTGGCCTGGACCCTCCCACCTTCATCCTAAAATACCTGTGATGATTCAGAAACAGTGAAAACTCACAGGATAGAAACGTAGGACTCTCGGTAAAGGAGGGATTTCCTTTACAATGAGAGTCTGCTGCTGGCCTCTCTGCCCTGTGCCTTTAAAACCTTTCTGGAAGCATCATTCTTCCCCCAGGGAACTTAGTTTTGTGCAAAAGTCACTTGAAACTGAACAAGAACATACTAAGTGTGACAATAGAGGCAATTAGGTACAGATGTGTAACAAATGCCTGACTGTGTGGTTCACACTAGTTAAGAAGTCAGTGACAGAAGATCAGAGAAAGTGCGAGACATCAGGGAAGGAATCAGAGAGTGATATTAGCAATGCAAAAATGTACAGAATGAAATGTGCCCAGACACTGACAGCGGAATCCCTGAGCGGGAAGACTACGTATGCCTTGTTCAGTATTCGGAACTTTTCTGGGGGTTTTTCCCTAAATTCTTCCTAAGCTTAAGAAGAGACAGATATCAGAATACAAAGTTGCTTATATATCTTAATCACAGTTAGATTTTTTAAAAAGATGACTATGTAAGTATTGGGGGAATAAAGACTGGATAAAAATATGCCAACGTGTAATTATAATAAATTATAATACAATAAAATTTCATTTTTACGAATTTTCTACAATGAACATATATAGCAGATACATATAAGCAGATTGTCAATTAAATTAAAAACTAAAGACATCTATCTCCTGCAGTTGCAATACTGCTCAGAAGTATTAGACAATAGAAATACATCATTTCAAAAAGAGATTTTTCTTCTTTGCCCGAAACCTTCCTTTCACGTTATAAAGGGCAAAACTGGTAAAGCTTTATCCCACACAACCTAACAATTTAAATTTTTATACCCATCCCACTTTCGTAAAAGAAAACAAAAATGTATAATTATAAATGTACAGAATAAAACTAAATGACCAAATCACAAATATATTAATTGGAGTGGGAAGTGTAGCTTCGTGGAGAATTGATATTTTCTTGTTTTTCCTTCCCTACACCTTCTAAGGAAACCCTGTCAGTGCAGTGGTTAAGAGCTCGACTGCTAACCAAAAGGTCAGCAGTTTGAATCCACCAGGTGCTCCCTGGAAACCCTATGGGGCAGTTCAACTCTGTCCTGTAGGGTCGCTATGAGTCAGAATCGACTCTATGGCAACAGGTTTTGGTTTTACGTCTTCTAAATTTTCTGAAAGAAAAACATGTTGCTTTTATAAAAAGGGAAAAAGTATCGTGGGCATCCTTCAAGTCAATATCCATGCCTGTATTTACACCCTGTGTTGGTGCTCAGGGACGCAAAGGTGACAAATCCCAGCCTGAGTCCTGGGTTCCTTCCACTGGGGAGACTGACAGATAGAAAAGGCTCCTGTGTACCCAGAGCTATGCTAGTGGGTCTGATAGATGCTGCAAAGCCGAAAGCAAAACACAGCTGGCTCCCCTCTGGAGGGCCGGAGACAAAGGTCTTCAGAGACTTGGATTTGAGCTCACTCTAAAAAGCCTTGTCCTAGTGAATCAGAGGGAGCTGATCACAAAGAACTGTGGGAAAAACAAAGGCTCAAATCGCGTTCTCCTTGGTCCTGGGGAAAGAACTGAGTGGCAACGGAGGTGGACATGCTGCCATCTAGTGGTGGCTGTGAGATGTCGGTAAAGACAGTTACATCACCTTCACCATTTAGGACGAGAGCCTTGCTTCTCAGCGTGTGGTCCCTGGCATTCTCCGGGAGCTCGTGAGAAATGCAGAATCTCAGGTTCTATCCCAGCCCTGCTGAACCACGATCTGCATTTAACAGGCTCCCAAATGATTCAGGTGCACACTGAAGTCGGAGAAAGCACTGGGTTAGAGAGCAGCAGAAATCTTCAGCAAGACCCTTCATTTCTCAGGCTGAAATTTTTATCAGCTAGATGCCAGAGGAGCCCTGGTGGCACAGTGGTTAAGCGCTCAGCTGCTAAACAAAAGGTCGACAGTTCGAATCCACCATCTGCTCCTTGGAAACCCTGTGGGGCAGTTCTACTCTGTCCTATAGGGTCGCTAAGAGTCAGAATCGATGGGAGGGCGACAGGTTTAACAGGTGTTAGATGCCAAAAGCTGCCCCATCCAGAGACCATCACGACCATGATCATCAAAACCGGGACAGCAACTCCAGGAAGAGCTAAGGGAGTGAGGGTCTTTTACCCTAGTCTGTAATGCTGGAGTATTTGTTCTTCTGAAGGATGCAAGAAACTCGTTATTGTCCACAGATGTAAAAAATAACAGCTATCAAGTCAGACAAGGGTACAAAGCCCCTGGCAGCAGCTCGCCCCTAAGGTAATGATTCCATGAGGCCCAGAAATGGGTGAGGGTGGGGGGAACTAAGGTCCATAAAAACAAAGTGGATCCAGCCTCATTCCCAAGCCCGGGGCCCTTTCGTTTGACTCTCTCTGCCAATGTCTTCTCGGCTACTGCTCTGGAAAGACCTTTCTGGGGCTAAAGTCGAAAAACTGCACTGTCCAATATAGTAGTCACTAAATTAAATTAAAGTTAATTAAAGAAAATTAAAAATTCAGTTCCTAAGTTTCTTGAGCCACCCATATTTCAAGTGCTTACAGCACACTCGGTGTGACTAGTGGCTACCCTACCGGACAGAGCAGAGAGAGAACATCTCCATCATCACAGAAATGGATGGCGCTGGTCTAAAAGACCCCTCAGTCCCACTGTAGGTTTTAAGGTTTGTGCAACAGCAAATCCTCAGAATCGAAACGTGCGCACACACCTCTACACCAAACCAAAAACCAAACCTACTGCCCTCGAGTCCATTCCGACTCCTAGCGACCCTAGAGGACAGAGGAGACCTGCCCCAGAGCGTTTCCAAGGAGCGGCTGGTGGATTGGAACTGCCGACCTTTCGGTCAGCAGCCGAGCTCTGCAGCACTGCGCCCCCAGGGTTTCCCAACTCTCACAGCACTAGGAATACATAAAGGAACAGTGATATTCAGTACCTAATTCCATACAGAGATCGTATTCAGACAATGAATTCTATTAACGGGTCCACCGCTAGAAGTACCTTGAGAAATATAGAAAGATTTCGATTTGCTAGCCCTCCCAGGCAACTGTCGTCTCTTCTTTTTCAATTTTTAGCAGTTCCTTTTGCTCTTTTGACTCAGTATTTCCCTATGGTCTTTCAGTGTATTCCCCTAAGGTGGCAAGGAAGCCTTTAAGGTCAATGGTGTGGGAAAACTTTAAAGTTAATCAAACATCCAATAAATGTACCAGTGAGTCCTGGGGGCTCTAGGCTTGACTGCACCCAGTGACATCACCAGCCCCCCTGAGAACCGAGCAGCCAGGTCTGGAACAGCATACGTTTGCTTTCCCGGCAAGTGAGTACAGCTGGACTCTGACAGGTTAAAAAGGGGGCAAGCTGTGATTCCAGTGAGAGTCTTCTCTAGGTTCCAAACCAGAGTCATAGACTCAGCTTGTGAAGGAGAGAGAGAGAGAGAGAAGAAGGGAGAGCGAGAACTCTGTCTCAGAAGGTGAGGTGTTTTTAGGATTAGCAGGCATTCAAAGATTTCATCATACAAGAGAATTAAAAATCAGAACTTAAAAAAAAAAACTAAACAAAAATGAACAGCTTAGGCTAAAGACGTAACACTAAATGTAACATACAAATACACAGTATTCCAAACATTGAGATTGGGATTGATGAAAGCTACATTTCCAAACAAGTCAGCCATTCCCCACCAGTTAACTAGTAGTCCTTTTTTACTGCTGTTCTTTTAAAAGCTGGAAATTCACGGGCAAAGAAACTTGTTTGGTGAGTTTCCATTTCTCAAAGAGTGGGTGGACATCATCCTAAAACTGAGTTACAGCCGTAAGTTCCCAGAAAGCACTTCACAAAGGTTTATTATTAATTACAGCATCTTAGAGCGGAAGTCAGAGTTCCTTAAAATGTGAGGTTGTTTCAAAACTCGTCATGACACGTCATGGCTTCAAAAGAACACCCGTGCAGGACAGAAAGCTCCACAAACACATTTCTCTCGCCTCATTCCCACAGTCTCAAGGAAATGACAGAAGATGCTTAAAACAACAAGTAAATTGATGGCAAAACGGGAAGGGGGCAAACGAAAAGCAGCTTCAATCTCCCCCAGGTAAATCTGTCCTTATTCTGTCCATTGCCACGATCTCCAGCCTGCCAGATGGCCTCCCGCCCCAGCCCTGACGCACCCTCGACAGGCTGCCCTCTACTTGCCACCCACTTACACATCTCTTGTGCAGGGGAAGGAGTACTCCTAAAGAAACACGACTAGGTAACTGCAGGAAGATGCACACTAACCAGCTAGTAAAGCCTAATTAATTCAGTCCTCATTCATAAGTAGAAACTATCTAAAGACCAGCAGGTAATTAAACCAAACCAAACCAGTTGCTGTGGAGTCAATCCTGACTCACGGCAACCCTATGTGTGTCAGAGTAGAACTGTGCTCCACAGGGTTTTCAATGGCTGATTTTTCTGAAGTAGATCACCAGGCCTTTCTTCTGAGGCACCTTTGGGTGGACCTCCAACTTTTCAGTTAGCAGCTGAGCGTGTTAGCCGTCTGCACCACGCAGGGACTCCTAGCAGGTAATTAGGGGAAAGCATTAGCACAAAGGAGAAGTGAGAAAATGAATCAACTAACCCCAAAAGAAACATAAATAATCCAGGGAAGTAGGGAGGATGTTCTTTAAAAACACAAAACTCATTAATATTCTCGAGTGTGATTCAAGAGGATGTGGCAAACATAAAACAAGAACGAGCTGCTACATGTGAGAAGCAATCAAAGAAGAAGAAAGAGCTCTTAAAAATTAAAACTGTGATTTCCCAGATAAATGCAATGGTTAAACTGAATTATAAATAGAAAAGCCGAAGGCCAAGTTAAAGATCTGGGAAGAAAAATGGAGACAGAAAACACTAGGCAAAAGTAAACACGGATTATAAATTCAGGAAGTTCATCCGCGTAAGAGGAACAGCAGAGTGAGAAAGACAATGGAGGGGAACAAAATAGAACATAATTTCCCTGAGCTAAGAAAGACAGATTGACGGGGCCAGTAACTACCAAGCAAGAAGAAAGAAGAAGGACCCACACCTAGATTCACCCCAGTGAGATTTCAGAACTCCAAGGACAGAGAAAATCCTAAAAAGGAAAAAAACGAGACTAACATCAGACTTCCAATAAGGTGGACCAGAGGCTAGAAGACAATGGAATAGTATCTTCAAAACTGTGAGAGACAAGGTTGTAGAGTGTATTTCATAAATCTAAGATGCCACCAACTGCTGGACACACAAGAAAAGCTGCCAGTTAAACTATGACACGCCACAGATGGTAGGATACATCCCAATTTCGAAGACAATGTGACAAAGACCATTTCAAAGAAAATGTTCAGAAAAAGTGCAGCTTGTCATCGGTGAATCACGATACCTGTGTTCGGCCAAATTATCAGTCACGATGACATTTTCAGATATGTAAATTTATTACCCTTGTCCCTCTGTGAAAAAAACTACAGGCAGTTCCCAGGTTACAAGGCCGATCCCTTCCTGAGTGTGTCTTTATAAAGAACGTGTAGTTAAGTCAGAACAGGTACCTACGGTTCTTATTTAGCCTTACTTTCGTGCAAGAAAAGCCTCAAAGCCTTTCCAGGGATTTAAAAGCTGCAGGTGCAGCAAGTGGAGGTGACTGTGATGAAGAATTTGTTGTGAGTAGGGGTTGGTTCAGTCGTTTCAAAGAGAAGGCAAATTACATAACATTAAAGGCCAAGAACAAGTTGTCCGTAAGGACGTTGATAACCCGAGGGCTTACTGTACTTCAGTAGGTACTTTGGCAGAGCAAGGGAGAAATCCAAGAGGACAACATGAGTCACAAGAATTAAATGTTAGTGTAAGAACTAAAAGCACAAAGGAAAAATAAAAGGTGTTTCATTAAATTGGGACGCTTGAAGAGTATCGTGTTTAAAGAGCAAAGTTTTGGGGACATTTGGTGGCGTTTCCTGTTCTACAGTCCAACCATCCTCCTCCTCATAGAAAGTAACATTTACATGATCTACAAACCATGCATACGGTATTTACTGGGTTTCAGTTTTTAGCAGCGATCTATAGATGGAGCACAGAAAACTTAAGAGTTAAGGGACAGAATGGAAAGGATACAAATAATATAACTAGATAAAATTCAACAAGTGGGGCTGGGACAGCCAAGAACTCGGTCTCATACAGCCGAGACGCTGTCTCAAATTAACAAATCAAGATATGGAGCTCTAACTGTATTCTACACGGTCGGAAGAGTAGGCTGGATCTCTCTTATCTCCGGTTCTGTCGGAATTTTCTTCATTTTCCCTCTGTGCGTGCATGGAAAAAAAATCACTCACACTGTCCAAAGGCGGACCTGGTGAAGCTCTCAGAATGTCGCAGACATTCTCTAAATGAAAGTTTCCTTAGTCTATCCTTCCAAACATGCAAACAAGTTTTCTGAAGATTGGGGAGGGTCTCGTTTCCATCTATGCATATTAAGAAAAGTAAACTGATTTGTATCTAATATCACAGAACCAGTTTTATCTCCCCGAAAAGTGAAGTCACTGGAAGCCATACCTGGTAAGTCCTTGGAACACGGGGCCAGCTTTTCCAAGTGACTGTTGATTTTCTTGATAGCTTTGAAGTTCTTGTTCCTCTTCAGGACATCCACGGGGGAGCGGGAGTGGGGGTCCAGCAGGGTGGGGTCCGCCCCAAGGTGCAGGAGCAACTGCACATCCTCTGTCTGTCCTAGGGCAGGCCAAAACGAGAAGGAGGCACCGTCA